GTGTCAGTGGGTGAAGCAGGTGTCAGTGGGTGAAGCAGGTGTCAGGGGGTGAAGCAGGTGTCAGTGGGTGAAGCAGGTGTCAGGGCGTGGAGCAGGTGTCAGGACGTGGAGCAGGTGTCAGGGCGTGGAGCAGGTGTCAGTGGGTGAAGCAGGTGTCAGGGCCTGAAGGGGTTCTGTGCTGAGTTGAAGCAGCCAGCAGCTCACCTCCCGTTACCATGGAAACTACAGCCTGTGTGTCAGTTTGCTCACCGTCACCCGGGTTGGGGGTCTGTCCACCATGGAGCCACTGGGCATGCTCTGTCTCCGTATTCTCTTCTCTGCCGCGTCTGTGAGAAACAGAGAGCATCATGGGAATGATTGTAGTCCTAAACAGGCTCACAACGGTTGTTATGGCAACTGGGATTGTCATGGGTCTCCCTGACAACAGGCATGTTCACAGAGGGAGTGTTTTTCCATGAAGTCATTTGATTGGTTGGTTCCTGATCTGCCTCTGCAGCCAGACTGCCCCCTGCTGGCCCAGAACAGAACCTGCTGCCCAGCAGCCAGAACCTGGATCAGAACCCAGAGATCTGGAAGAGGGATCGGGTTGTTCAGCGGGTCGGTACCCTACCAGGAGCTTTGTTCTCCTTTAACCACAGCTGCTCTTCTCTCAACCACAGAACTGTCTGTATCCAGCACATGAAACACTGATTCCACTTCTGGAATAAATTTACAACTTCTCCTCAAAATACAAACATTTACTGGAAAAAGAATGAATCTCCAGGATAAATAATGAAAAAAATCAAACCTAATGAACCATTCCTGGAGGTGGACATCACAGACAACCTCACCTGGAAGAAACATCATCAGGTGACCTGATGGAGGAGAGTTTAATCCAGTAAACGATCAGTTTAGTTTCCATCCATCCTATTCCTCCCAGCAATATTCAGACCAACCAATGAGGATGGAGGGAGGAAGAGGGGAACCCCCATCATAGATCTTCATCTTCTAGAAATGCGGCTGAAAGTTTGAGTCACTGATCTCTATTAATTCACGTGATTGCTGATAGGTCACCTGCCACCATCTTGGTGCTCCCCACTCTCACAGTCGTGTCATAAAAATGCCTGTAAGGTGATGTAAAAACAGTGTAATAAATCCATGTATATTACATGTATATTATTATTATTATTATTATTATTATTATTATTATTATTGTGTATTATTATCCTCCATTAACACACACAGGTCCCCTGAATATGAGAACATCATGGTCTTTCGATGCTGTAGCGCACAAATTGTTTACATTCAAACTGGTCCAACTAGGGAGTACCAACATGGTGGCCGGTGGCCTCACTCCACCCTGTACTACCAACAGGATATTGAACTGTTAGCCGCTGGTTTCCATGTTATTTACCCAGAGTTCAGCAGTGTTCTGTTTAGATTCCACCTTGTGCTGTTGCCCACATTCTTCAACAGGTTCAGTTCACCATCTTTCTTTCCTGCCCAGTCACATGGACATCCTGCCCTCCTCTGACATTCACTATCCTGCTTCTATTATCAGCCAGACCAGCAGGTGGTGCTGCTCCCTCCACCTTCCACCTGTCTGTCTCTAGAAGTCAGTAAAGAGGCAACAGGAGAGACTGGATGGTAATCAGTCAGGAGGTCTGATGGTGTCAGAGTCCTGAAGGCCTGAGCAGAGCAGCTCTGTGGGATTCTACAGCACCTCTCCCCCCTTAGTCTGACCCTGGAGACAG